CAATTTGATCGTTTAGGTGATTTCAGATTGCAATGATGCCATTTTTCACACTTTTTTAAGGGTCAATTTTTTTTCAACCCTAGTACATCGTCAAATGCCGGATTCTCGATTCGAAAAAAAAAAAAAAAACTGTTCAATGTATTATTCGTACTTTTCCATTTCTTTTGATATATTATAGCTCCCAGGGAAACGATTGGTAACGGAGATATGAGCAATCTAAGTTTACGCTCCGCGCGCGCCGACTGGAATCCGGGCGCCGCTCGCCGCTCGGAGTCGTCTGAACACTCCCTTTCTTAAGCTTCACGAGGTCATTCCTACGTATTTTTTTGCGTACTTTCCTTTGAAAAGCCCTTGAATCGGAAACCATCGGAGGCCTTTGAAAAGGGCCTCCGATGAATTTTTAGGGGCCTCGCGGTTGCCATTTTTCGCTCGTATTTAGGGTTTTTTCCCTATTTTACTCACAATTCTACTGAAAAACTTAATTTAAACGGAAAAGCTGTGTGCGTTGAGGAAAAGAACGTTAAGAAAAAATAAAAATTCATGTATAAATTCTTCCTTCGTTGCCAAATTTTCGAGAATAATCGTACCAAAGAGCCAAATATTGAGCTACGAGACCACGTTTTCTGAGCAGTATAAATTGCTTGTGATGAATTTTAAGGGACCTTACAATCCATTGTCACCATTTCGGCCAATTTTTGGGTTTTTTTTTTTCAATTTTACACGCATCAGACTTGATTCAACCTATAACCGTGTACAATGTACACTCACATTTTTGGAAATAACGTTATAAAATATAGACGCTATTAGTGGCGACGTCATCATAGGGATTCGCCATTATATCGAATTGGATCCAAACAATAACATTGGCATAACCTCTTTCAATGCTACCAGTGCGAAAAAATCGATATATATCGCTTTTCTGTGACGTTGCACTAATAGCGTCTATATCATTATAACGTTCTTTGAAACTTTTTTTTACGAGACCATATGTTGTAGAACGTAGAAGGTTTTAGGAAATGAATAATGACTTTCATGCAGAATTGAAGAGCTTTCCAGAAAAAGGGCACATACCGGAAAAACGCGTTGTGAGGAAAACACATTTGAAGTTTTCATTCTTACTCTCTGGCCACTGATGATGACATACATCGGAACTGGGGCACTCATATCAACGTTCATACACCCTAAAACGAATAACGACCATTGGTGAAACTCACACTTCTTTCAGTGTTGTGGGAAGAATTTTTTTAAAATTCTCGGTTATGCCCAGTTAGCAAGATTGGGAACCAACCCGCATCCTGCGTGTGGCGCGGAGAAAAATCAGGTTTCTCAGACGCGCGCGGGAGAGAGACTCTACCTGCTCGTAGAGCACATGTGCTCTTTTCCCGGAAATGGACCGGTGGTCATGGGTTTTGGCTTTTGAGGCTGAATTTTCGAGACGTTAACCAGTTTTTAAACAAGAGTAAATAATTCCGATTGATTAATAAATCATAATTTCGATTGAGAACGCGCGGGTGGATCATTTTCGATCATTATTAATGAAAAAGACTGCGCAACACGCGAAAAAATCGAAAAATTCAATCTCACACGAGACCATTAAAAATTAAATCATTAATGATTACAAAAATTCACGTGTGACTGGTGCAACGCGTAGACAATCCCTACAATCCCTGCAACCCGATGCTATAGCATTGATTAGCAGAATCAGTGCGATGCATCTGCAGTGAGGGATCCTTATCAGTACCAATCACCTCCCTGCCTGCCTGCGCGCTATCTCCTCAACCAACGGTGACTATACCCAGAGGCAAATAGATGAAATACGTCTGTGACCCCTGACTTATTGTTAGCCTCACAAAACGTGGTATCGTAGCTCCAAAAATTGATCAATTAAGCTGAAACTCGGGACATTGGTACATTATGATGCGAGGAATCCATTTCTGTCTTCTCCGATAAAGGGCACATACGCTTATGTGCCCCTTTTCCAGAATGCTCCTCAATTATGGGATACTCTTCTCATGCAGCCTCTTATGTTGCGTAAGTGGCCCGTAGCATTAAGTCATACTTATAATTATAATTGTAAAATTAAGTTGAAGTCATAATTCACTTTCCTAGAGATATCTAGACATCTCTAGGACTCTTCGTCACTCTAAGGTGATTAAATTTGACCGTTTAAATTTCGTTTTTTTTTAACTTTTCCCGAAATTTGGGGACTTGCCAACGTAATGTAGAACTAATTTTGACCTTACTGAGATAATGTGGAGGCAAATCTAGGGGAAATTGCCTTTTTTCGCGGGAAAATTGAATGACCTTTGAATTGACGTATTTGGGGGTCCGAGCCCCCCCTTAAAATTACAGCGAAGTGATTTCTGCAATTTTTACTTAAAAGCGGACACAATTTGGTAAATTTTCCCGTTTTATTTTTTTCTTTACGATAATTTGAACCGGAGTTATGATTTTTTGAAAATAGGTCATATTTGACCTTTGACCTATCATGACTCGGTCAAAAATTAAGATATTGATCTGCGGTTTGCGCCAAAATTCTTAGATTTTTATGTTCTTTCGAATGATGTATCACAAGATAGGGGTTGCCATTTGAAAAAAAAAAGTTGGGGGCCCCCCGCGCCCCCCCTGAGGGGGGACCAAAATTTTGACCCCTCCAAAAGATGGTACCCTTTGAGATAGGAACATTCCCAAAGTTTCATTACCCTAGCTCAATTCGTTCAAAAGTTAGCAGGGGTGGGACGGACTTTTGGTACACCCTGTATAGCCACACTAATGTGGCCGTTAAAAATAGCTGTTTCGAATTTTTAATGGGAGAACCCTGCAAAAGTTTCCTTTTAGTGTGTACAGAAAGACCTAAAAAAGAAAATCGAAAAAAAAATAAATTTAACCGTGCCGCACGGCCGTTGTATGTGGTACGCGTATGTGGTAGGGCAAAAACACGATATCTGGAAAATAATTATGTTAAGTCATATCTTGGCTTCATTAAGTTTCATAATCAGTCCGGGCGACTTGGAAATTGCTTTTTGAAACACTTAATATATTTTGCCATAAACTTTGAGCTGAATGCTGAGTCCATTGTAAAAGCTGCAGGTTGCAACGCGTTCGCAGGTGGTCCGCAACTAGGTGATCGCGCGTGCATAGAACACGTTGGAAAATATGCTTGAAATCGGATGAAGTGTCTGAGCTGCATTCATATTTTCACTCTTTAGGTACTTGTTAGTTGTATGATGACCATCTGTTTAGAGGGTCGACGACTGATTTTCGTGTGTTTAATGTCGTGTGAAATTTAGCCCCCCCCCCCCCCNCCAAGTAAGGACTCATGTTTGTTTTCCTTCGAAATGCCGACCACTCGGAAAGACACCTCACACAGTACGTTTTAAACACTTTAAATGCGGTCTACGTACCACCCGCAATATTTTTGCGTAAATGTCAACTAGAAGGCCTACTGATTGAGGAACAACAAACCGCGAAATCTGTAGTTTGGCCGTTTTTGAGAAAATGCGATTTTTCGCTTTTTTGGCGGGAATTTCGGGTCAAGGCGCTGAAAAAGTCAAGTTGGGCTGTTTTTGTGGCTTGTAAATGCATATCCTATACTTTAATAGTCAATCAAGAGTTAGTAGATAGCTATTCGTGCATATTGCCCAAAATTCGTATCTTTAAATTCACGACTTCCGGGTTTTTAGGGGCTTAGTCAAGGAGAAAATCCGAAAAAAAGAGAGTTAAAACTCGGAACAAATTGCTTAACAAACTTTTCCTCTGTAAACGTCGTCAGCAGGTCCTCTTGAACAACATACCAAAAGTTTACCACAGTTCGATCCCGTAACACCCCCCACCCCCAATTGCCTAAATTTCAAAATGGCGGCCATTATAAGGCCTCTGGGATTTCGATTTTTTTAAAATACGCATACAGTGCCATGTGAGGTGTCAATTCCTGTGCAATTTTGGTCGTAGATTTCAGATATGAAGTCAAAAAAGTCCCCCGGTCAAAAGGGGTACCCCAAATCCAAGATGGCAGCCAATTTTGAAAGACGAGGGTGAATTTTTAAAAAGCCAAGATATGACTTAACATAATTATTTTCCAGATATCGTGTTTTTGCCTTACTTTGAAGGTAAAAAAATCGTACTTTGAAAAATTCTAAAAAAAATTCCGTCAACGCCACGTGAAAGTACGCAAAAAGTTGAGTTAATTACCATAATTTCAGATGTCTAGATGGATTCCATCATGCCTTCGGAGACGCTTCGAAACGCCAAAAAGCGCGATTTGCGGAAATCGTACTTGCAAGCGTACCTACCACATACAACGGCCGTGCGGCAAAAAAAAAAATTTTTTTTTTTCGATTTTCTTTTTTTGGTCTTTCTGTACACACTAGAAGGAAACTTTTGCAGGTTCTCCCATTAAAAATTCGAAAAAGCTATCTTTAACGGCCACCCTTAGCTACACGCATTTACGTGGATTGGCCCATTTTCCCCTATTTAAACCTATGTAATTTTTTTAGGAACCCGCGGCTATCGGTACCCGTCAACTATTTCAAATTTTGAAAAGTCCGTATGTATTTTTAGAATTACTAGAGGCATAACTTTACCGCACTACACTTTTAAGGTAAAACCGCCCCTTCTAAGGTAAATTCTCAGGTTATTTGAAAGATCAGTATACCCTCAGTGAAATATCCGCAGGATTTTAGTTGTCACCTGGTGCAGGAGGCTCCTCGCAGAGTTCTGACTTTCTACCTATTCTGATACTGCAAAAATGCTCAAATTTTATACTAGCGGCTATTTGCCATTTTTTTTAGCAAGGGGGGGGGGGGGGCGGGGGGTTGCGTGAAAACTCGAGAAGTAATAAATGAAAACTGAAAACTGAACTTAACTGAAATTAAAGATGCACTTTCCGTGTCTCATTTAACATTAATTTTTAGAGCTTAATGCTTTTTACACTTATATTTCAGAAATTTTCAATTACTAGAGGAATATAAATCTTGATGACTTTCATTTTCCTTTCCTAGGCTTTCCACCAACCTCATGATGCTGCTGTTTCTCCAGACGGTCTTTATTTGTATGTGTGCGAGTTGCAACCGATTCGGCTGTGGAAGTTTAAACTGTGAATTCTTTTCAAGTGAGATACTGGTATTAAGTTAGGCCTTGTCTCCACGGGACGTTTTCATGGGATTTGTCCCAAGTTCGAATCGCAGGAATGAAACTTCGGGGATTTTTCCCAGTTACCGTCTCCACGGGACGGGGCTCATACAGTCCTGCGACTAGTTTGCGGGGGAAGATCAATTAGTTAAAGTCGAGTTTTTAACCGGGATCAAAATAATAATTGCACTCAATTGACAATTAGACACATTATTTTAACGAAACAAACATGAACAATGGAGTAATCAACAAAATATCGCACAATTCGTTTTCACTTCTTCTTCCTCTCTCAGTTCCTTCGAGGGGTACAGGGATCAAATTTGGTACTGGGAAAAATATTGATTAACTCAATATTTTTCCCAACTTCGTAAATGGGATTTTTCCCTGGGACCAATCCCGTGAAACGGCCCGTGGAGACAAGGCCTTAGGCACCTTCCTGTATTATTTTAAAAGTCTAAGACAATTTGTAGGTCAAGATGAAATTCAAACGTCTATTTTTTCTGAGGGATAATAAAGAATAATTTTATGTTTTCTTCCAAATAGTTTTTCCTCTCCTTCTTTTCCTGCAGAATTTTATTTTGGTATTCCTGAATTTGCTGACTAATTACGAGGGTCGTTCCAAAAGTGAGTTTCCCTATTTGATTCCTCCGAAAGTATTATAGCTAGAGCAAATTCGTTACCTAATACGTGCTCATAGGAAATATTCTCAGCTTTTCAACGAGCTACAGTTTCTTTAATATGAAACAGTGGTTGCCAAGATATTGAGGTTTTCCCATGCGCACTTCCCTACTCTACGCGCACTCCCCCCCCCCCCAAGGGGGGCCCCCCTGAAAATTGTAGGGGGGCCGAAAAGTAGCTCCCTTTGACCTAGGAATATCCCCAAAGTTTCAAATTTTTATCTCAATTAGGTAAAAAGTTAGAGGGGGTGGAAGGGACTTTTGGATCACCCTGTATAGTGTCCTTTTTTTCAATTATAAATACCGTATTTTATAGCTTTCTCTATAGCTATCTGAATAGCTGGGTGAGTTCAAATAAGCGTCTAATCTGGTGTCCCGAGCTGTTTTAATCGTCATAATCTGAGAAACATGGGCAAATCAAATTTTTTTCTCATTTTCCACACTATTGTTGACTATTACATGCTACTTCCCACTTTATTTGGACTGAAATAAAAATTTAGGAGAACTTTGAATGTGCAAATTGCCTATATTTGTCCCGAATTTGCGTGTCCCCCGTGCCTGGTTCTTGACTTTAAATCGATGTTGCAGCATAACCAGAGTGATTATTTGAGAAAACTTTATCGGAGATGATAGGTAATGCTTTTGAATTTGAGAAAAAAAAATATGTAAATTTCTTTTTTGCTCCATCAATAACTTTTTCACGCCCTAGAATCATTGTCCCGAGCAATAGTCAGCAACAGTCAGGAGAGACATGGCAACGATGTAATAAGCTCTAAATGATTGCCGTAACGTTGAGGTTTTTCCAAAAACGACTTTTTTTGTTTTGATTGAATAGTTCACACGTCGTGGATGGCAAAAATTCTGAAATTCGCAAATTTTTGTGCAAGATTAACGCCATTAACGATGCCAAACAGAATTCTATACACGATAACTAACAGGGCGTCAAGCATACACACACACACTAATATCAGCTCGTAAAATACTTTCGAAGTGTGCGTTAGGGAAAATTTTCTCCTATTCCGATCCTCTAGGATGTGCTACTAAATATTCCGTGAAAAAAACACCAAAATTGTCTATACTGTCAGAGATAAGCTTAAAAAACAGCTTATTCCATCCTGTCCCGTTCCATCTTGTCCCGTTCCATCCTGTCCCATATGTTTCCATCCTGTCCCATGTCCCTGTTTAGTGGGACAGAGTGGAAAACTGTTACAACTGAGACTTGCTTGTTTAAGCCCTGTAGGCGCTCTTTTCTACCGATTTAAGTGAAACTTGGTATCCGGGGGTATTCTTCAACGGGGAACTCGAATTTTTAGTCAAATTTTGAAAATTCGAAAATCCAAGATGGCGGATATGACCTAAAATGCTATCGCAGCGCCTAATCAACTGAGACTTGTTTGTTTAAGCCCTGTAGGCGCTCTTTTCGACCGATTTGAGTGAAACTTGGTGCACGGGGGTATTTTTCAATGGGGAAGTTGAATTTTTAGCCGAATTTTCGAAATTCGAAAATCCAAGATGGCGGACATGACCTAAAATGCTATCTCAGCGCCTAATCAATCGATTTACGCGAAACTTGGTACCCGGGGGTATTTTGAAATGGGAAACTTGAATTTTTAGTCGAATTTTCAAAATTCAAAAATCCAAGATGGCGGACATGGTCTAAAATGCTACCTCAGCGCCTAATCAAGCGATTTACGCGAAACTTGGTACCCGCGGATATTTTTGAATGGGGAACTCGAATTTTAATCAAATTTCCAAGATTCGAAAATCTAAGATGGTGACCGTGGCTTAAAACACTATCTCGGTGACTAACTAATTGATTTTAATGAAACTAGACCGGGAAACTTGGTATTAGGAAAAGAAAGGAAATTTTAATAGGGGTGCAATAGGGTTTCTTATGTATCTTAGGCTACGAAATCGAAAAATTCCTGGGTTTTTTTCCATCGTGCATAGATTCTTCCGGAAAATTGACTCTACTGGAAAAGCTAGATTTTTAAGGAAAATTCCGATTTCTCCGGAAAAATTCCGAACTTTCCCAGGATAATTCGCACTGATACAGTTAAATGGAGGTGTTCTTCAGAATCAGCGCCAAAAATCTACTCCAAAACCATTGGCAAATCTTCGGAAAATCAAGAAAAAATTTTGGGAAGTGATACACTTGACGGTGGAAATTCGGGTTTAAGCCCAACTATTAAGCTCGACGAGCTATATTTCCTGAGTTTACACCTAATGATAGTCAAAATAAAGTTTGGTTTGCCCAAAAATTCCCAAAAAAATTTTGGGAGGAAATAGAACCTGGAATTTGACCCTTATTTGAATTCACCCAGCTATTTAATAGGTATATGGAAACCTATTAAAAAGGTATTTTACTTTTGAAAGAGAACCAAAATTGAGACCTTGAAAATCATAAGGTGGTAAGTGCATTGATACGTTGCCAAGACTGTGCAACTGTATACGATAAATGCAGCAAATCAAAACCATGTAGAGGCGAAACTTTTTTAGCAAAAATTCCCTGGGCTATGCTAATTTTTTTTTTTTTTTTTTTGCATTGAAGTTTGCAATTCTATATGATTTTGGTTTGCAAAAAATAAAGTTGCTCTATCATAGCAACGTTGCAATGCACTTATCATCTTATGGTTCTCAAGGCTGCAACTAAGAATAGTAAGAAAATTCACTAACATGTTTAGGAAAATACACAATAATTCTTGGGTTTCTTAAATTTGAAGGTTGAATGATGCAATTTATTCCACCCATTTAGTGTTTTAAATTATTCACTTTCCCATGAAGTACATGACTTCCCTTAATTTAATAGTTCAAATAAAGTCTTACAGTCAATAAAGACTTTTTGTGAAAATATTGTCCGCAATATTCTTAAATGATGTAAAGGTGCCGGATTTTGTACGGATATTTTCGGAAGATTAGATGCTAACTGGGAACTGGGCATGTGACCCTTGCAACAGGATGAGTGGCTTGAAAGAAGAAAAAAACGTATTAAATAGCTATAAAATACATATTCTCAAACGGAAATTTTAAACCAAGATAAATGCGCATGGAATATCTATGAAATAGCTATAAAATATGCTATTTGTACGATACCGTATAAAATAACAAAATAAATAGCTATAAAATAGCCTATCCGGCCGATACCTATTCGATAATCCTATTTTGGCTACTAGGGAGTGCTTTGGGATGTCTACGGGGTATTATAAGTTGAGTATTGCCACGCGGTGAGACAATATTATTAGATATTATTGGAGACAATAGTATTGGACGCGTGCCCGTCCATTTTCCCTTTGGATTTTCCGGCAACCCCCTCTCATCATTGCCTGGGGCAACCGCTCCACTCGCTCACACGATGCCTCGGCCCTGGCGCCGGAGGCAAGACGGCAAGTTTTGTACTTGTACTCATTGTAGCTAAAAATGTTTGAACTTTTCTGTTTCGTTTTCCTCGCAAAAAAGTGTGGTTCTAGCACTATTTGGCCACCTTGTTACACAGTTCGGGTCACGTTTTTAGGGGTTTCTGTCTTTTTTTCTTGGTTGTGAGGAAAATGGTCGAAAAAATCAAATTTTAAGGGCGGAGCTAGTAAACTGCTGTTTCACAGGATAAAGCTAAGCTTTGATACTTTAGACGTATGTTTTCTGAATGTACTATCGACGAATTTAGTTTTGCGCATAGGCCGCTCCAAATCAAATGTAAACTGTGCGACGAGGCGCAGCGCAGCGTGGCGCGTTTCGGACATATCGGGTGCTGACTGGACCTATCTCATCTCATGCCAACGAGGAAAACGGAGGCACCTGGACAATTGACAAATCCACTACTTTTTCAAGAAAATATCCCTCAGACAAGCATCTACGGGTGCAAACTATGATAGACAGCGTAACACCGCGGTCACTCGAAAATAGAGCTAAAATTTCATGAGGTGCAACTGATTTTATCTTCTAGGCGCCGGCCGCCGCGCCGGCAGGTTACATGGAGTTCTTTGGGACAAAGGCGTATGCGCGCATCCGCCCTTTTTCGGGAGAACGCGGTTACTGAAACTGGATTCTTCCTAGTTTCAGGGAATATACATAGTGTACTAAAAAGTCCCCCCCCCCTTTTTTTTTACACAGCGATCCACGTTATCATGTAGGAATCATAGGGGAATGTAGTCACAATGTTCCGTTTTTGCAAGTATACTCTCAAAGACTTGTTCTTTTAAATTAATGTTTCGTGCGAAGATATTGGCTACAACCAGCGCTATACACTTTTGAACTTTCAAAAGCGGTTTCTGCGGAACTACTTTTTCTAGTATACGCCCTTGTTCCAAAGAATTCCTTGACTCAGGATATACTTTTTCGCGCAGGAAGTTTAAAAATGACGCAAGACTGGTCCGCTGTTGACTATGGAAGATTACACAAGTATGCACCAAAAAAAAAAAGTTAGTGCTTTAAAAGCGGATTCTCGTGTAATATTCAGCCCTGGGTCTACGTATGACCTTGGTTTTTCCCTGTCTCCGCCATTTTCCAAGTGAATTGGGATTATTTAAAAATGAATTTTCCTTGGAAAATTTGACTGTCTGAAAATTAATGCATGATTGAGAAAAACCAAAGTAATTCTTGAATTTAGGAGCTAAAGATACTTAGCCAAACATATTTCGCATACCGCATGCCTAAAAAATATGCCACCCTTTTTCTGATAACGAGTATGATATTTCCCGGGGGATTCACCCTCTACGCGGAGGGGGCTCCAGAAAAGTTTGGAAAATCATCACAATTTTAGGCTATTTTCAGGATCAAAATTGATTGATAGTGTCACACATATATTAGAGCGCCATCTGTCGGCCATTCACTTCACTTTCTATAAGAGTCTCCTTCTCTTTTCTCTCC